AAAAATCAGTTTTATAATTTTCAATGAGTTCAATTTTAATCATTTCAATTTTTAGCCTTCATTTGCTAACAAGTGCAAAATGTTAAATAATTTATATCCAAGCCAACTGCAAAGAAAATTCCCTTCAAAAAAATAATTTTAAAGCCATTTGTAAAAGGTGCTGTAAAAAACGTTCACCAAAGACTCTGGTAAGCTCGTAATCGGTTTTCAGGCACACAGAAATATTTTTTTTTTTGGTTGTCAGCCGAAATTGAATTCAAAGAGCGATGCAGAGAATCAGAAAAAAGCCAATGCTATGGAACGAAAGGATTTTCGATAAGATTAGCTGAGACTTAAGCGTCAACAACTTGACAACATATGGCCTAACTACCTATACTGAAGGCAAGCTCCGGTTCCTCGAAAGATAAATGAAAATGCTTCGACGACTTGATTAAAACAAAAACGAGACAAAGAGAGGAAAATGCTGGAAGCTGACTCTGCTGCGCGTTACCAGGGCCAACAAATCCCATAAACAATTCTGATTGCATTTCATTTAGTAATGTCAAATGTCATTTGTGAAAACGCGAGCGGTGGGCAATGGTGGTGGGGGAGAGGTGGGCGTGTACAATAAGCAGAGAGATTACTGTAACAGACAGGCGGAGCGGTGGGGGGCGTACTGCTGTGAGCAATTTTGCTTTTGGGCATGGCAATAGATGTTTGGGCACATGAATTGAAATATTTGTGTGTGTGTGTGTGTGTGTGTGTGTGTGTGGCATTAGCTACTATTTGCTCACTCCCATCCGATCCAATACGATACGATACGATACAAGAGTGGCCATTAACACACAGCTGGCGCCCTGTGCAGCCCTGTGCAGCAATTCGTCTGCCCGAAAATTTCGAATGCGAAAAAGTTTTCTCTTTTATTCTGGTAAATGTTGTAATTGATTTACAAATGCAAATGTTTAGCACACGTCCTTCAAGGCGACAACTGGCAAGGCCCAATGAACTTTCCCCCTACCCCTACCACTCCGCTTCTCTGTCACAGTTACAAAAAACTGTTTTAGTTTTCCCCTGACATTGCCCACCCTCATACTCTCTCTCTCTGTCTCTCTTATAGGGGCTATAGCATTTCAGGCACGTACCAAATTTCTGGCTTATCTTTAGTGCAGGCCTCTTTATCTGGCCGGGGCTGCTTTAAATATGCCTTTTGTTTGTTTGTTTGTTGCTTTTGTTGTTGCGGCTCTTTAAAGCAGTTAAGTACTAGCAAACGAACACACACAGACAAACTCACTCAACCTGATGGGGGCTGTTTGGGAAACTAATTGAATCCGAGCTGAATTGTTGCGTATAAATTTTCAATTAGTTTTAACTTAGTTTTGCAAAAAGGAAATTAAATTTATTTTCTAGTTATATATAAAAAAAAAAAAAAACAAAATAAAT